GCACCAAAATAGAGGCGTTGACAGTACTCCTAACAAATATGCCTCCAGTGAAAACGTGTTAAATCAATTCTGACACAAAAATGTGCAAAATTAAATGTCATTGCACACACAGCCGCAAAGTATGCGTACGGGAAAAACATGTTGAGACGACGAGCAGGAGCAGTCAGAAGCTATAAGCATTCTCAACGGCAAAGATCAAACTACCAGCCTTGAAAGCAGGGATCCTCACTAAACATCATTTCAACAACTAATAATGCAACAACAAACATCTAAGGATATGCTAGAGCGTGTTGCCATCAGACAAAAGCATTCACCCAAAGGGCGACGAAATCTCTCATCATAGCAATGCTGTTCTTGATTCTTAATAATGTGAACTGAAAGTAAATTTAGCTTGCTCCAGAGGAGCACATCTTTGAAGTTGAAGCGAAAACTCAGAACAAAAGCAGCAGGAAACAAGGGCCCTGGCAGTTCTTCAGGCACACGACCAAAGCACCAAGGTTATTTCTCCAAACATGGCAGCACTACCAATCAGACAAAAAATTGTTCTAATTAAGTGCCGTAATACACACAACCATATGCAAGTGTGCCATGATAAAACAAGCTCATACAAAGAGCACATGCAACTTGGGAGTTATGACCAAATTTCACACCGAGTGGAACAAGCTGGGGGAGAGTGCATATTCAGTTCCTTTCAACATAAAAAATGCTACACCCTGGACGCAAAAGAAAAGCAGCAAGCCAGAAGCCTTGGCAATACTCCCAAGCATAAATTTGTGCTAATTAAGTGACATAATGCACGCAGCTACCTAGGCATGCCTGACTAAAACATGTTGACATAGAAAGCAAGTGCTATAAGCAAACAGGACTACTATAGAGTTTAGACCAAATTGCACTCTGAACAACAAAGATCAAAGTACCGGCATTGAAATGAGAAAAACTGAATAACCATTCCAACAACTAAAAATGCAATGAGACATCTAAGGAAATGCCAGAGAGTATCACTAACAGACAAAAACATTCTCAAACAACATGAGCAAGACCAATTCTAAGTAAAATTTACCTTGCTCCAGGCATTGTTGAGGAAATCGTTAACTGGTAGCTGCTCGGTTGGCTGGTGAGTAGGGGATTAATTGGCTAATCGGCAAGTTAATCGACCATTTAATTAATTAATCAGACGATTTATCGTTTTATAGGCTACTCGGTGACCCTACGAGTAGGGATTAATCGGCAAGTTAACTGGTTAATCGGATGAATTCTTGAACAGGGGCTCCAGGAGAGCGCGTCTTTCAACTCACTTCTACCGAAGAAAAAGTACAACCATCGCAGCGATTCTTTCTTTAATCATAGCAGCAATCTAAGTAACTATGAGACACATAACTATGCTAATTAAGTGTCATAATACACACATGTACCATGTATGCAAAATTGAATGCCGTAATACAGTGTGCACACAAAAATCAAACTAACAGCCAACAAACAAATAGCTGCATATAGTAATAAGAAGTTTTAATACCATAGATTGATACACCAGGTCAGACATTAACAGAGATCAAATAAATAGCCACAGATCGATATACCAGGTCAGAACATTAACAAGACATTATAACCAGCACCAAATGATGAGATCGCAGGTGCTACCAATTGCTACTGCAACCATCCAAAATGACACGTTCTACTAGTAGTACCGACAAGTAAGAAGAGCCAAGAAAAAAAAATACATGCTCTGAATCCAGCCATCATGCTGCTCGCTGGAGAGCCAATATGTGTAGCCTGCCATCTGAGGCCGCCACCCCGGCATGCAAGCCCTCCAGCAAGGTTGCACCTTGGCACGCGACGAGGGAGGCCCAGCATCAGGGGCCTGATCCCAACTAGATCTAGCCCACAGACTGAAGATGCGGCTAAGGATGGAGCTCGCCCGCGACACCACGCAGCATGCCTCCGGGCCACATGCAAGTACACTGCCCTGAAGCCGCGCGGCCGCATGTCACACAGTCGAGACAGCTGGCCTCCACGTGCCAGATCTGGCCTAGGGCACAGCGTCAAGGTCCATCATGTGAGCGCTAAACACGACGGCAATACATGTACGTGTTTGTTTAGACTACAAGTGCATGTGCGTGTCCGTGTAGGACTAGTATTGAACACCGAATGGGATTAGTACTATTTGGCAACTAGGCTGAGTAGTATATATATCCATGTATCCTCCTTGTAAACATCAACCAGATCAGAAGAAAAGCAATAAAAGACCAAGGCAAGTCTTACGCATCACCAAAATCAGTTTAGTTCCAGTTTTTTCCTATCGCCAAGTACGTGAGTTCCGCCGAGATCGATTAAGCTGCCTGGGTGCTAGCTTGCTAGCTTCACAAGCGTACATCAAGTACGTCCTGCTGAATACAAGCTAGCCCTGTAAAAGCCAACACATCACCCCTTGTCCCCGGAGCCCCCAATCGGAACTCCGCCATCCCGGGCCGCCACCCGCCGGTTACCTGGGCAACGAACTACCCCTAAAAAAATAAGGGCATTGCTACTCGTGGAGGCTAACCGGCGAGGAGGATGGCTCGCCGCTCAAAGCCATGGAGGGTTCATGGTACAGGCGCTGCGGAGCCGGGAGAATAGCCCCGTGTGGCCGCCGTCGGCCACGCACACTTCTCAAGCCATGGAGGGTGCATGGTTTTCTTCCAAACAAAAACCCAACTTTCCAAGTTCCTACCGCTAGTCTCGGTTGGCGGTGCCTCCATGTCGTTGTCGCCTCATCTCTCCCACACTGCAGCAGGTACCACATAGAGAACCACGCGGTAAAACAATTATCTGGGATTAACTAATTTCTAGGCTGGTTAAAAATTAGCAACCCTGAAGTAAAATTATTTTGCGGATGTTTCGTATGACTGCATGTGATTAGGCGGATTTCGGGATCGGGCAGACATTCAGAACACCCACTAGCAAGTATAACACCGACTAGATAGAAGCACCCAAGACGAACGTACAACAGAAAGGATGAACTTTCTTGAAACAGGTTTTCGCTCCGCTTTATATACAAAGCAACAGCAAAAATAATTAACTTGATGGTGTTCTGTGCAAAGCAAGTGATCAAATTCAATTGCTCTGCATTTTACAAATAGACACGTGATCCATAGTCCTGCTACTGTTAATGTATAGGTTACAACATCATGTTTGTAAAACGAGAGAAATTTCAAGCAGTAAATTTGGGGTCGCGCTAACTGCCACACGTGTGGCATATATGACATGCGTCCACACACCATGTGTGGTGTACCCAGGAGGCAGCCCACACGGGCTGTGTGTGGGCGGACATTAGAATTGCCCACACGTGTGGGCGCGGCTATTTCGTGCCACACGCCCAACAAGTACTACTTATCTTCACCCCGTGTGTGTGGCACGAAGCAAAAATGCCCACACGTCCTAGCGCAGCTATGTTAAGTACTCCGCGGGATGACGGTTTAGTTGCCATCCTGGTTGGCAGACGTAGTTATCCGGTATGGCAACTGTAGTTATAAAAGCATGGCAACTCTATCTGTTTTGGTTAAATATAGTTGCCATGTCTAATTTATGATAGTTGCCGCGTGTAATCAGACCGTAGTTGTCGTGTGTGATTAACTACTTGCCATATATGGTCAAAACAGTAATTGTCATGTGTGTTTACCTAGTTGCCGCGTGTGGTCCAACCATAGTTGCCATGTATTGTTAATCACAGTTGCCATGTGTGTTTATCTGGTTGCCACGTGCGCGCAACTGCAGTTGCCGTGTAGCAAAAGAATCACAGTTGCCATGTGTGTGTACTGAGTTGCCACATTCGCGTAACTGCAGTTCAGTTGCCATATGTGTACCGAGTTGCCACGTTCGCATAACTGCAGTTGCCATCCACAAGGTAGGAGTGTCCTGTGGGCGAAAAGCAGTTCACCCACACGCGCATGACCTAGGTGGTGGCTGTGTCGGTGAAAAGCAGTTTGCCCACATAACTCAGCTGGCAAACAGCGTTGTGCGGGTGTGTGGGCAAACTCCCCAACGCCCACACACCAGCCCCGTCCTACGTGGCACACCAAATCCACCTTTTCGTGTCAAGATTCGTGCAAAAGACAGTGGACGACGATTCAGGCGTGTGGGCGAGTTGGGTAGCGCCCACACGTATGGGCGTTAACATTTCCGTAAATTTGAGGTTGCTAGGTGTTCAATCCGATAATTTGCAGACTTCTAGATGCAATAATCGTGAAACCAAAACCTGTTTCGTATCATCACATAAAAGGAAATGTGGCCACTCTTAAACGGCCAACACTGACAACATGTAATTAAGTTGCAAATGTGTCATCTAGAACTAGCATATTTATCTTGCTCCAGCAGGGCACACCTTCAACAAGTTCCTGTCTACCCAAAAAATATAAAACCCTGGAGAAAAAAACAGCAGAAAACAAAAGGATAGTTGTTCAGTTCAGTCCGGCGATCGTCAAAACTGACGTTGTGTAATTTAGTTACAAAACTTTTATCTGGAGAAAGATGAACAAAGTACCAGCACACTTGGTGCTCGTTTCTACTTAAAAACGTAAAACAAGTTCAAAGGGCCTGGCGCAAACAAGGGAAGGAAACTGAAGTATCAATCATGCAAAAAACTGTTAACTGAATGCCGTAATAATACAGCGTGGACACAAAGATCAAACTAACAGTCAACAAACACATAGCTGTATATAGTAATAATAGGTTTTAATACCATAGATTGATACACCAGGTCAGACACTAACATAGATCAAACTAATAGCCCAAGATCGATATATCAGGTCAGAACATTACCAAGACATTATAACCAGCACCAAATGATGAGATCGCAGGTGCTACTGCAACCATCCAAAATGTCACGTTCTACTAGTAGTACCGACAAGTAAGAAGAGCTAAGAACAAAAGACATGCTCTGAATCCAAGGACAAAGCAAACCAGGAGTCTTGAAAATTCATACATGCCCTGTGGAGAACGGAGGCTCCTCATGTTATTTTTGCATCTCATGATGGAATTGCAATAATGCTCTCTTGAAGGCGGTGCTGACTAAGCCCCACACAATATTGACTTTTTCCAATATTAACCGAACCTAAGAACTTGCCATCAATGTCGCAGCGCAACACATGCTTATTATTAAACATGATCAGCAACTCACACTTGTTTATCACAGCCATATCACTGAATGATTGCACCGTTGAATCAAGTGGTGTTTTCTTTTTCTTTTTCTTTTTCAATGAACTCAAATAAAGTTGCCGTGATGCCTCCACAGTTGAAAGTTCAATCCGGTACATGAAAGCCCAGATTTCCGCATCATAATCTTGCATCACCCAGACATCAATAGCAGTGAAACTAGGAGTCGAGCTGGCCCAGCAAGCAAGCGTCCCTTTCATGTCGAACAACTTCCTATTAGGGCATGGCTGAGCGGGACTACGCATCCACCCGAATGACTCGGCTTCTGTGTTGAACACAATGATGTCTCCACCATCTCCCATGATGTCACTAGCATCATAAAGACACCAGTGGAGGCTGCCACGGTGGTGGACTGCTGGTGAGTGGTCGGATGACATTCGCAGCTCATTCAGTAGCTTCTGTTCCATGGAAGGCGATGAGACCGTTTGCATTCTGACTATTAATTCCCTCAGCTTGTCGGATCCTACTGTGAGGATGTATAATCTAGATGTAGACAAGTCATATGACTGTGAGACCCAGAGCACCCTATATTCTCCAGTTGGATGGTGGCAGTAGAAACCAATTACGAAGTTGAGCCCTTGAGGCTGCGGTACGACAACAGACTTGCGGGTCACCGGGTTGCAGATGAAGAAATGGGACCGCATCCAGAGGTACATAATGAAGAAGCCATCACAGGAGCCTTTGAGGCTATTCTTAAAACGGTGTCTGCAGTCCTGGAGGAAGGGCCAGAGCTCTTGATTTGAGGTGCCAGCACCAGCGTCTCCTAAGACGACATAACTGGCGGGCCGCCCCTGCCCATCGACAATAGGGAGCGATGGCTGGCGGCGGCGGTGCTCGAGCATGAATTCAGGTGTGGATGTGGCACTGCGCCAAGACGTGCTGACAGCACGGCAGCGGCCGACGGCCTTGGACGGCAACCGGATGAGTATTTTGTGCATCATCTCCTCGGGCAGATCCTCGAGCATGGTTGCGCCAGTCCTGTCAGGCATCGTGCTGCGTCGAGTCCGGTCAACTGGAAAGACCAGGAAAGCTTAGTGCCCAGGGGTTAAACCCGCCTCTATGGCTAACTCGTCCAGACCAGCTCAAACTAAAAAGACAAGCAAGTAAAATACAACGATGAAGGTGAGACGAGTTTACCCTAAGAGACAGGCCGCCACGCGTAGGAGAGTCCAGCGGCGGCTGCGGCGACGAGCAATATCAGCAGCGTCAGTGTGTTCCGTAGCCTGTAGACACGAATACAAGGGAGAGATTTGAGCGCAACCTGCAGATGGCGAAGGGCAAAAGAAAACATCGGACAAGAGATAGGGACGGCGACCGGTTTGGGCGGCGAAGATGCTCACCTTGGTCGAGGAGGAAGGCGGCGGAGAAGGTATCGGCGTGACGCAGAACAGCAGCTCGGCCGGTCGACCTAGGGCGGCGGGTAAAACCCTAGAGGGGCCGTGCTTCCCCGCACCCAGTCAGGGAGGGGAGGTCGACAAGGAGACCATTGCGCGAGGTGCGGACAGCGGAGAGGAGGCGGGCGACCTGGATCTGGAATCCACGGGGCTGCGAGCTCGATTCAGGGGAGAGGAGTGAGGAAAAATTAGGTCTTGCGGGGGAGAGGGGTGGGGAAATTCGCCTGGAGAGGGAGGAGGTCTTGCAGCGTGCTCGAGTGTGGTGGGGAAATTTTACCTGGAGAGGGAGGAGATCGACTCAGACTCAGCCCAGTCCTTTTCCATCGTTTCAACGGCGGCTGAGGCCCTGTTTCATAGCAAAGTATTTTCTAAGTATGTTGATAATACTACAGTTTTTGAGATTACCATAGTATTTTTTTACAATGACCTGTTTGGTAGTCCATAAAAACTGTGGTTTTAATATTGTAGTATTGGCCAAACCGTGGTTTTTTCTCTGTATAAAAAAAGAGCCCCAGACCTCTTTTTAAAAAACAGAGGAGCCGAAAAGAAGGGTCTCACGTCGTTATCCTTCCCCTCTCCAACAACTCGCTCCTACCACGCTGCCGCCGCGCCGCCTGTCGCGTTTGGAGGTATCTCCCTCGTCGGCCATGGGGAAACAACAAGACGGCAAAGAAGAGACCAAAGGTGAGTACATTGTCCTTCATCCTCCCTCATTGGCTCCTCCCACATCTTCACGGCTACCGCTGGCCCCTTCCTCCGCCCGTGATGGAATAGGCCAGGGCACTAGATCTATTTGGTTCTTGCTATCTCCAAAGGATGAACCCTTGTTCGAGCCAAAATCTATATGTTCGATTCATGTGCCTTCTCCTTTATAAAGTGTGGTATGATGCATACGGGTAACCCGAGGGAGCAAGCTGCTATTGCGTTTGAGATCAGTGAAGGCGCCGCTACGAAGGTTTTTATTCTGCCTAATTACTCCGCCGCCGTCGCTGCCGCTAATCATAATTAGTCTAATTGATCCATATATTATATTCTAGTAGTAAAGTACGGTGCTACTTCCATGCACTATATTATTCAGCTAGCTACCACGAGTCATCAAGAATAATTCAGAGGTGAATAGAGACCAGAGGATAGAGACGATGCAAATATCAAGTGAATGCGCCCAGCGTGGCTGCGCGATTCCAATCCTGGTGCAGCTCTTCGTGCCCCTCGGCAGTGACACAGATGACTGGCCAACTACGCGACATGTTGGGTCGTCACCTCCATGCGTAGCTCCGCTGCGCCTCGATGGTGACGCGAAGAACGGTCAGCAGCTCCGTCTATTGTAGCTTCACCACCAGGTAATTCACACGAGACGTCGAGCCATGGATGATCTTTGTTGTATACACAAGCCACCTGTTGGGTTGTTATGCATGCTAATGGTTAGGATATCCAGCTAGCTAGCTACAAAAGCTCAACAGCATTAGTATTCAAACGAAACTACTCTGCGTACGATGCCTTCTCGTCGAACAAGAGTACGATCAGACTGGGATCATCTCTAAATACTAGGGCCCACAAACTGAATCATCTATGGCTGTCTCTAATCGTATGGAGTGTTCGACACGAATTTATCGTACCTATAGCAAGGTTTGTATTCAAACGGCCGGCCAGCTGCATGTCCTTCCACTGCTAACGGCTAGGTAGCTGACTATTTGTACATAACGGTTAGGTAACAATACTGTGTTTTACAACAACAACCAAACAGGTCACAATAATCTCAATACTTCAAGATACTTTGGTATTATTCAAACTGTGGTATCTTATACCCATTGACAAAAATACTGTGGTTTTTAATACTTCAGTTTTTCTAATATTTTGCTACCAAACATAGTCTGAGTCTTTTATTTTTTTGGACTTTTTTTAGGAACTGTTTGGACTTTGGAGCATCGAAGTTGTAGTCTTTTTTTTTAGTGGAAGTTGTGGTCAACTTTCAGGCGTATAAAATCAGCCTTTTTCCTCTCCAACCACCAAATCAAAACACTCTGTCCGTCCCATTCCCAGCTTGTCGTCTTGCCCGCGGCATAATATATTTCCGAATTCAGTCACCTTCTCCAAGCCCAGCCTCCTCGAATATAAAGAGGAATATCGACGAAGCTCCGAGGCCGAGCAGATCCGACGATCACACCCTGGTACGCGAGTCCAAGGCATGTTAAGTGCAAGGGGGGAGGAGGCTTTTCACTCTCACCCCTGGGAGGATTAGACGGAATCCGAGCGAGACGAGGAATGTGCGGCGAGCGGCACCAAAGAGTGGAGTTTTCGACGAGCTTTGGATGAACTCGTCGGAAGCGAGTAGACGGCTGTGTTATGTTGTAGAAAATCGTCGGCCCATCTAAATGGGGGAGAAGAAACGTCCATGCAGATTGAAGGAAAAAGGCCAAGCGGCAACCTTTGAATTCTGATCCAACGGTTGTGATAGAAGTCGGGGCATCGACTAACTCCTAACTTCTTGTAGGCGATTGACGCGCAATTGCTCCCTTATTCACTTGGCCTTGCTGCCCTGTCTTGCCCAACAATGGAAACCGCTAGTCATGGGGGCAGCTCTTGACCATCCCTGACACTGGTGGCGCACAATCTTCTTTTTCAGCTTCAACGCAAAACAACCCTGACCCCGATAATGTGCCTAGACTATAACCTTCCAAATTTGTCTTCGCCAGTATTGTGTCAGCATTGTCATTATCTTCGTCCCCATCTCTTTATGGATGAAACGCGAATCATAGGGAATGACACGATACACAAAAAATACGAATAGAACAAACTTATACGATTTCTTTTCCTTTTTAGTCAAAAGAATCAAGGAAGCATCTTCATGTATATGTATATGTATTTCATATGACCTTTCAGCCCGCACGTCGCCCACCCTCTCGGGCGAAACCCAGCTCCAGCCGCCA